CAATGAGAACAAGGGCTAGTGATCGTGAGACTTCAGCCAGCCGCTTGTAGAATACTTCATCTGTTGCTTCATCATGGTTGGGTGGTCTATAACAGACTCCCACCACGATATCTGCCTTATTGGCCTTCCCCTTGATGCTTACCCATAAACACTCAACCCTATCGTCACCATCATCAAGCTCTAGACAATCAAAACACTCCCTAACATACAGGGCTACCCCACCACCTTGTCTTCCTTGCCTATCCCTTCTGAAGAGTTTCTAGCCATCCATTCCCGCACTCCAGTTGTGCAAGTCACCCCACCATGTTTCTGTGATGGCAACTATGTCAGTTTTTGTGCTGCACAATGGCTTCCAGCTCCTCCTGTTTGTTGCCCATGCTGCATGCATTGGTGTAGATGCACTTCATTTGGGCTACTGATCCCATCACCTTTTTGGGGGAAGAAGCCCTAATTCCTACGTGACCATTCTCAGGCGCTTCCATGGTTGCTAACACAGCCATAACCCTTGCGTCTCTGCCGCCGCCTGGATCTCCATCCCCTACCTCCACTGAGATGGCAGACCAAAGGACCTTGCTAGCACACCGTCCCTCAAACACCAGCGTGCTGCCCCCGGCTTATCTCTAGTGAGCCTGGTTTTATCCCTTTCCCCCTTCAAACCTAGTTTAAAGCTCTTTCAATGAGCCCTGCCAACCCCTGTGCAAAGATCCTGTTCTTCCTTTGAGGTAGGTGTACCCCATCTGTCACCAGCAGGCCTGGTGTCATGTAAACTGACCCACGATCAAAAACCCCAAAATTCTGCCAGTGGCACCAGGCTTGGAGCCAGGTATCAATCTGCTGGCTCTTCCTGTGTCTTCCCTCATCATTCCCTGCAACTGGAAGGATAGAGGAGAACGCTACTCGTGCTCCTGATCCCTTAACCAGTCGTCCCAAGGCCCTGAAGTCTCTCGATTGCTCTCAGACTTCTTGTTGCAACTTCATTGGTGCCTACCTGAAAAATCAATAATGGATAGTTATCTGAGGGCCGTACCAGGGTAGGAAGCGTTCTCTTCACATCTTTAACCTGGGCCCCAGGAAGGCAGCAGACTTCCCTAAGAAGTGGGTCCAGTCTGCATACTGGGCCTTCTGTTCCCTTCAAGGGGGTCTCCTATGACAATGACCTGTCTTTTTTTCTTTATGGAAGCAGTTTTGACACAGATCGTAGGCCAACTTAACCTCAGCAACACTTCCAAGCTAGATGAACCATCGTCCTCATTATTGTTTGGTTCCACTTGCAGAGCCTCATACCTGTTATGCAAGGGCACCTGAGAAGGTGCAGTGGTCACAGAGGAGATGCACCTGCTGCGCTGGGCAGGAACTTGTCACCATTTCCCCCTATCCGTTAAGTCACTGTGTTCAGCCAGGCGGAGGGAGGATAGGGAATCCTCCGTATCATGCGTCCTGTCTGCCTGTTGGACCTGTCTCAGGGAAGGTAGGGTGTAATTCCTGTAGTCTCTCTCTCTCTTGCACTCCGTGATACTCCTCAACCTACTCACTTCCTCCCAGAGCTGTATCACTAAGTGGAGGAGATCCTCTACCTGGGAGCACCTCCCACAGGCATGCTCGCTGCGAGTAGGGCACACCTTACAGCTTGACACCTGGGTGGCAGGGTATTCCCACTGGAGCTCTATCTGGGAGGCTGTGTCCATCGTGGCAGGTACAGAGCTTACTGAGGCCATGGCTTTCTGCTGGGTGGATACCATTGCTCCCTAGTCGAGCTGGCAGAGCTTCAGTGCCCTTCCTGCATGCCCTTCTGCCGCCCAAACCGCCACACACCATGCCCTCTTTGCGGCGCTCCTGGTCACTAGCGCTCCCTAAGGGCTTCTTTTATACTTGGGGGCCGGGGGGGGGGCTTGGCTGCCATTGCTCCTAACCCCGCCCAGATCTTTTAAGCTGCTGCCATGCGAGCTGCGGGCTCCTGGCGGCTCTCCCAGCTCTCCCTGAGGTTCGCCCAGTTTGGGAAACCCCCCGTGCACTGTGCTGAAGCACTCCACTGCTGATCATGCCAGCACCGGAGCTGCTTGCCTCAGCGACTGAGAACGAAGCTGGTATGTCAAAGGTTGCGTCACCATGCTACCTGGCAATATGAGCCCGTACAAAGCACCTTCCCTTTCAGAGTAACAAGGACAGTCAAGTCCACTTCGGCCCATGTGACTCAGTTTAATAAGTGACCAGATACTTGACTTGATAGTTTTCTGCTGAAAAATTCTACTGTTTGAGGAAGGAAGGAAGCACAGAGAACTGTCAGTAAAACCAAAGCCTCAGAGATGGCTCCTCTGAAGCTCCTAAAGTCATCCAGGATAAGAGCTTGAGCATAAAAAAGCAAAAACATTGGGCAAAAACGCAAGCTCAGTTACAGTTAAGTACCATTTTCTTCGACAAACACAGCCTGTCCTTTTATTCCTACAAAGATTACTTTCTGTCTTTTCAATCAATATTCCTTGCACAAAGATCCAGCTTTCAGTCTCTCTTTGCTGAGGAAGAAATGGATTACAGTTACCACTATCTGACACCAGGCATGATTCTTGTGCTTCTGCATACTACTTAATAAAAACAAAAATTTGCCTCAAAATTGAAATTTTATCTGCAAAACTGAATCACTCTATTGGGTGCTGGTGCCCAGGTGATGGCAGCAGGGGGCTGCAGAGTTGGCCTCCGTGAGGAGAGGCCAGGGCCGGGGCTGTCCCAGACACAGACTGTTCCACCAGCTCCAACAGAGCCACTGCAGGGCATAGCTGAGACCCTCAGCTGCGAGTGGGGTGCCTTTGGGAAAGCATATTTAAGAAAGAAAAAAAAAAAACCTGTGCAACAGCTGTGAGAAAGAAGTGAGGAAAAACGTGAAACTACCCTGCAGACACCAAGGCCAGAGACGAAGGGAGAGGAAGGAGGTGCTCCAGGCACTGGAGAAGAGACACCACCACCCCCCACAGCCCGTGGTGAAAACCATGGTGATGCAGGCTGTCCCCCTGCAGCCCATGGAGGACCACACACAGTGGAGCAGATATCCACACTGCAGCTCGTGGAGGACCCCACGCTGCAGCAGGTGGACATGCCCTGAAGGAAGCTGCAGGCTGTGGGGAGCCCACACAGGAGCAAGTTCCTGGCAGGAGCTGTGGCCCATGAAGAGGAGCCCAACCAGGATCAGGTTTTCTGGCAGGAGCTGCAACCCCGTGAGGAACCAACCCATGCTGGAGCAGTCTGTTCCTGAAGGACTGTATCCCATGGGAGGAACCCATGCTGGAGCAAGGGGAAAGTGTGAGGAGGAAGGAGTGGCAGAGACAAAATCTTATGGACTGACCACTACCCCCATTCCCTGTCCCCCTGCGCTGCTGGGCAGGGACAGGAGGTAGAAAGGTCAGGAGTGAAGGAATGAAGTTGAGCCTGGGAACAAGCGGTGGGTGGGGCAAAGGTGTTTTTAGGTTTGTCTTTGTTTCTCACCATCCTACTCTTTTTGTTTTGGTAATAAATTAATCTTCTCCAAGTTTAGTCTGTTTTGCCCATGACGGTAATTGCTAAGCAATCTCCCTGTCTTGACCCACAAGGTTTTTTTTCTTATTTTCTCCCCCCATCCTTTTGGGAAGAAGGAACGAGAGAGCAGATTGGTGGGTGTCTGGCAGCCAATCAAGGTCAACCCACCACAGTCGCACTTTCAGCCACAGGAGTTTAGTTCTTCTATTGGTAGCCCTTAATTAATTGCACAATGTTCACAACAGGAATTTCAATTATTGCACAATAATTAACAAGATGTAAAATGCTATTTAAATGAAACAAGTTAATTCCATATTTACCTCCAAGGCCTGCATTCTCCTTAACAGCATTTTATGCTCCTCGTTCTTGATTTTTTCTTCATAGAATTCCCGAAATGTCATTTTGTAGACTAATTTCATACCATACTTCTTTGCCATTCTGTCAAAATAATAAGCATAATTAGGGAAGCCACAAAATTATTATAGCTTTATTTTCAAAGGAACAATTTTAAGCCACAGTGACATCTTATGGTACTCACTAGGATTACATTCTTTCTAGAATTCATTTTTTTAGAAGAAACATTTAGATGAAAAAAACTGCACTACCACCACAAACTGTACTTTTTAATTAGGACAACAAAAATCTACACAGAACTAATTTACAAACATTTTAATAGGAAAATGTCTCTTCTCCCAGTGCACAGAAGTAAGTTCCATTTGAACTTACAGATAGACTATGCTATTTTCCCTGTAGTATCATCACCCTGTCATCTCAGACATTACAGATATATTTAGAGAACCTCTTTCTACTAGATTTAGTGCATTACATCTCAATTATATGTAAACACTGTGGTCATACAACACTGAAGGTACAGGTGTCAGTGACAGATGGTGGTGTTTTTCATAGAGAACTACAAATGAAGTGTGTGAAAATATATGGGTTTGAAGGGAAAGCTTAATATTGTTTAACAACCATACTGAGCTTGAATGGCAGGAAAAACCCCGACATGGAAACATTTGTCTGTACCTCAGGAGACAGGCTGTGAAAGGCAAATCTGAATTCACACAGAGGTAACAGCAAAACGTATGCTCACAGATTAAGAAAATTTAGAGGAAGAAAAAATAAGTCATAGGAAAAATCCTATGAACATCCAAAGAAAGTTGGAGAAGACAAGAAAGAGGCACCATGATGAAGGGGATATACAAGAAAGCTTGCTGAAGAACTAAAGAAAGGTAGAATGAAACCCCCCAAAGAGTTAAGATCAAAGAAGAAAAAGTTGACAGCACTAAAGGCTTGCTGACAGATCCAACATATCAGCTAGAGACACTCTCGTGTGAGACCTAGTTTAAGTCTTCACAGCTTCTGACCAGAGCACCTTCAGCTGAGTGCAATGGACAGATTACAGTTGTGGATGGAAATGCAAGAAACCTCTTCATTTGGAGCAACATCAAAAAATGAAGAACTGAAAAATATAATAAGAAAGCCAAAATACAATCTTCTGCAAGTATTACGCAATGACACACATGCTAAACAAATGCTTATTATGTTTCACAGCTTTCGCTATATAATGAATTCAAAACTCAACTTACTCTTCCAGTAATGGAAAGTAAACCAAGAACTCAGGGACATCAACCACTTCTTCCAAGTGGAAATCATACTTGCAGCCAAACAAGGGATATTCTCCCTTCTTTTCAAATTTTACATTATACACCTCATTCCCAAATGAATTTGTTTCTGAAGCTTCAAGTCGCTTTCTATAAAATGAGATATAAACAAACATTAATTGACCAGTAAAACCTTTAATTTAACAGGCAGAGAAAACTATGCATAGGAGGCCTGAAAGTGTTTCTCCCAGTACTACAGCATTCAGTGATCTCTCTAGTTTCCCACCTCCCTTATCTAATAAGGCAATGAAACAGTGAAATGAAGCAGCATGCTAGGTTTTAACAGCTTATCATTCCTATAGAACATACCAAGGACTAACTGGACCTAGAAAATTAACCTTTAGCCCAGACACTGTCTACATGGACAAGTCAGGCTTCTTGGAACAACCACAGCAAAACCCTGACAGTTATTCCCCAGGCTGCGGCTACTTTGCCACTATTTAAGTCGCTACAGAGGGTTTACGTATGAAGATGTATACTCTATACCAGAAAAGCAATGGGTGCAAGAGACAAAGATTAGTACAGATTTCCCTGTTTGAGTCAAGTTCACAAGTGACATTTTCCTGACTAGAATCCAAAATTGTTGCAAAAAACTTGCTTTTGTTTGCACAAACATACCAGAGCATGGTAAGAACAACTATCACTTAACGATGCTTCACAGACTTTTGAAAGACTAATAGAATATAAAAGTACTTACACAAGTTCAAAGCTATTTGGAGTTGTGCCAATGAAATACCCTCCAGGAGAGAGGTTCCCACAAGCATTTTTAAGCATCATGTCAGCCTGCTCATATGTCTCAAATGAGTAATGGTAAACAAATTGACAGCTGCAAATGTCAAAGCGCATATCTGGATCATTGTATTTGGAAGACAAGAGATCCTGAAATAGATTAAAAAGAAACAAAATTGTAACAAAAGCTACAGAAACAAGCACGATTCACTTAAATCTTCCAACAAAATATGCTACTTCCATAATTCTTTGAAGTTTTTCCTTTCAGCCCCCACTCCTTCACAAGCTCAACAAGAACAAGATGAAACAGGTAAGTCCTCTGCTACACAGAAGATCATACCTAACATTTGGGAACAACAAGAATACACGTACACATTTCAAAGTTATCATGTCCTCAAATTCTTTTCATATTGTCAAGTAATACCACTACACCTGAAAGGCCAAAACCCAAGGTTAGTTACCTAATAGTTTCCAGAGATATTTTACTGCTGAGGGTTCATAACTGGTCACCATTTAGCTGGGAACAATTATTATAATAAAATGAATTTTCAGTTCACTAAGTCTCTATAATGACAACTGACCCATTAAACATATAATTGAGAGGAGGAGGTGTTGTTTTAAATACGACAAATTGCCTGCCCACCAAGTTGTATTTATCTGTATTCTCACACATGTACAAGACAGGTGTACCAACATACTCCTCCCCACTCCAGACCAAGTAACCATGAACTCTGAAGAACTTGGAGCCCTTGAAATTTGTCAGGTTAAAGTTTGCCACAGTTTGACCCTGTACTCAGCAGCTCTCTAACTCTTTTTGATCAGGCTTCTTTTATACAATACTGGTAAGCCACCATAAGTAACACAGGAGCACACAGGTTCTTCCCAAGGCCCATGATACGCATTCCGTACTTAAAATACTTCATACTTAACAGTTCTACCCAAATTTCTATTCTCTCCCAGACTTCCCATCCACCCACTCACTCTCAGTGTCTACCAGCTCATGCCACATACTGTCAATGTTCTGTATGTGGCAAGACTAAAACGGACACTTCACCCATAGCAATTTTATCTGTTCATTTACTCCCTATCTGCATTTTCAGAAAGAGAGATATGGGAAACTGAGAAAAAAAGGTGGGCGGAGCTGTGAGAAGGAGATTTTGCATTACATACAACATAGAGATACCAGGTCAGAGAGATGAACTTTTGTGTCCATGGACAGACAAAACAGAGCGTGCAACAGAAAATACATGTGCATGTCAGGCTGAGCTGTAATAGCAACGTGAAAATATCCCTTTTTCTCCTGGCCAAGGCTCTCTCCTCTCTCCCCTGACAGTAATTTTGAGCCGAGAGAAATGACCTGGAACCTGCAACAGACTGTACTCCTCAGAAGAAGGAGAGGCAACCAAGAATTCAAGCCAGCAATCCTTCCTGTAAGGCTGGGAAGTACAATTTCAGCCTTTTCACAGATATGCTGGAACCAGGTAGGCTCTGTCCCTCCGCCTGCGTCAGTAGGGCACTCTCAGCCTGCATTTCTAGGGAGCAAAAGCAGTGCTGGTTACAAGACTGTCTCTTAAGCCTCGGCGGTATTCAGTATTGCCTCCAGACAGTCTAGGAAATCTGCTCTGTCACGCAAGTTTTAAAGATATGTATTAGAGTAATTAAAAAGCTGCTAGAAAAAAAAGGACTGGGATAAGCAGAATGTATAAGTCAAATCAGAAAATGTCCTTTATTCATTCCAGAATAAAAAACACATTCACCAAAGTAGCTTCTGACATTACATGCTGGCTCCCAGAACTCCGGAAGTAAGTAGTCATTCCCTTCCCCTTGTCAAGTGAAAGAAACCGAAAGCACCAGATTTATTATCTGAAGAAGGCATTAAGGCTTCAAGAATGTTACACTGTAAAACAGCAATGAAACACATTTAACTACGTCTCAGTAACCTGTGTGGTTGCTTCTCCTGATTGTACAACAATCTGATCTTAAAAATATACGTGCCCTAAATATTATGGCACTAGCATCACTCCCCATACTTGCTTAACACAGGAACGTCAAATCTCCAAAATATTATAAAGCATAGGAACTGTACCTTGGTACTATCTGCTTGTATAAATTCTGCATCAAAAATATGTTCATTATAACGACATCGGGCTTTCATGTCTTCATATCGCTGCCTGCACTGTTGCACAGAAATGTCAGCAATATCTAGAGAGAGAAAAATTGAGAAAAAAAATAAAAATTAAAAAAAAATGAAGTGTGTAAACTACTCCCCAGACAAGAAAACTGGAACAATTACTGGAACACAGCAGATCCATCACAGCAGGGATAAAAGCTGATCTTTAGTTACACTTTGATGGGAACAAACACTTTTATTTCCAATTTGTAGAGAAGGATTTAATTTGCAGGAGGTGTTTGGGATTATAACTCCCTCATTTTCAGTCTTTACTTCAGACAAAAGTTGTAATGTGAAGATTTTAGAAAGCTCCCAGCCTCAAAAGTGAAAAGCAAGCCTCTAAAGTTTCAAGTGATGGGTACTAGGTGATTGATACTAAGTGCTGTTAGCATTAAGTGTCTGGTATGCATTAGCTAAAACAGTTCAGCTCCCAGAGTTTCTCCAACAGTACTGAAAGCTCTTCATCTTCTTACAAATATACAAGATGTTGAAATGCAATTATTTGTGATATATGCTGATATATTGCATCATGGGAATTTTTTTTATTTTGTTTTTAAGACTGTTCCTCTCTCAGACACACAGTTTCACTGAATTATATTAAAACTAACATTTTGCAATAAATTTACATAAGAACTTTCTAAGCAAATTCATTAACTGTATTTGAAGACTGCCAACTGAAAAAGAATCGCAAGAAAGAACTGTAAAATGTAGAATACCCAGGATAATTCCCACTAAGGAATTTTATGAAATTTTAGTATCTGTTAAATTTGAAGTAAAGCAATGCTTCCTCTGATTCTCCTTGGCATGCTTTTTGGGAGAAGGGAAGATGGTATCTCCTTCCCAACATCTAAGCAAACTATTTAAATGAAAAATTATTTAATCATACCATTTTTTGTCAAACCACTGCAGGGTTTGTTTGATTTTTTTTAAATGTAACTCTTACGTGCATATTTTCAGAACAGTTAAAAACACTACAAAAGATTAGATGTGGGAGAAAATACATAAAATACAAAATGTCAGTCTTTTCCCCAGTGTTACACTTTGCCTAAAACAATCTGTGGTAATTGTGCATTTCTTTACTGATAGTAGTTTCTGTTTATGAGTTGAACAGAAAATCAATGGTTTGTGCATTTATGCTGGCAATCAAGTTGATGTCTTCAGGTTAAAAGACAAACTAAGACTTTTTGACAGAAGGTATATCGTTGCATTCTTGGGCTTACTAAAAAAGGAAATAATAAGAGACTGGAGATGTACTTGTTTTTCCCATAGAACACTGGTGTACTTTTCCTGGAAAGTTATTGCATCTTCTTACCAGTACAGACAAGTTTTTTAATTCTGCCTTTTTTCCATTTCAGTAAGTCTCCGCCTTTGCCACATCCTAGATCCAAAACAGTTATATCACTCTTTTTCCGTCGTACCCGGTCTATAAATTCACCTAGAAAAATAAAAAGAGAGAACACATACACAGGTCTCTGTAATTCACTCGTATTGTACAGAGATCCCTAAAGGACCAAAAGGGTTTGAGAATTTCAAAACATCTCAGTACTTACTTTGCCTATAAGTCTTTTTAACATTACAGAATTAAATTTCTTTTTCTAGAAACCACCCATGATGAAAGCAACCACAAACTTTTAAAACTATGGAGAAGATAATGAATATTTTCTGTGCTTAATGTGTTTTGCATGGAATGTGACCAGAGCTCTGAACTGTTTCCCTGGCAGACAAAGGCAAAACTGCATGCCACTGAACAACCACCCCGTGTGTGAGTGGGTAAACAGGGTTCCCCTTCATTACCATTATAATGAAGGTAGATGTTATTTGAAAGTATGGGAAAGCCTTTTGCAAAAGAGTAAAAGCCAATTAAATGCATCAGCCACAACTTTTCCTTGCAGTCACATTACAAAAATGCATAATGTTCTCCAGTGACTCTCCTAGGCTTTGCCATAACATTAGCTACTTGTTTGCTGTCTTTTTACTCTACATATACCAATTTCATTTTCTCTTCTATCTCCACTCTGTCTCAATTATCTCTGCTCTGACTGATGCTGGCATACTATGCAAAACATATCAGCATGCTAGCAACTTTTCTTCACAGTCAGAGATATCAAATATGTTTGGATACAACTGCTGTAATGCCACACTACTGAAATTTATTATGATTGAAAGGCTTCAACACAGGCTTCAGAGAAGTCTTTATATAAACTGAAATATTGCTTCTAACTGCTCTGATACAACACAACAAAAAGCAGCATGCTAAGACAAATGGTGCCAACATTTCCTGGCATGGATCCCTCTTCAGGAATCTGTGGTGCTCTGCTGGTACTTCTTTTTGTTTGGAGATACCTGATGGTTTTGTTTCCTCACTTTGGAATTAATTTGTGGGATAGCAGACTTGGCGTTTTATAAAAAGCTGCTGATTCTTAAAGAACTACATCCTCTAGTTTTTCATCTTTTTAAACCGTTGGCTGTGGGTAATATAGAAAATATTTACATGTTCAAGTTTCCTACAGAATTGCTTAATCTAGACCTAAGGACAGACTGCTTTGGGAAAATGGCTAGGAAATTATTTGAGATACATTTAAATAACAAGACCAGTTCAATCTAACAAGAACAGGTAGATTCTTTATGATTTAAAGCTGTACCTTTCTCTTTAAAAATGTCATGAAGAAGAACAGTTTCCAGTATGAAGTTTTTCTATTTTTCAGATCAGTTGATCTTTAAAACTTTAGCATGTATTTGGCACTCCAACAATATAAAACACTATCACAAAGATTCAAAATAAAAACATAGATATTTTGTTGCACTTGAAAATTTTACTATGTATTAAGAGACAAAGTGCCATAATCAACATCAGAAAGCAGAAAAAAAGTTACATTTTGATACAAAAATTAGTTACGTTTTATTAAAGTCTAAGCAATCAATTAAGGAAGCTTACCAATGAGGACGCTCTTTGTCCAATTATTAAAGTTTCGGAGGTAGAATATGCGAGACTGGCTACGTTTTTCCAATCCAACTTCTTGAAGTTCATTATAATGCGCAGCTACAGCTTGCCCATGGCCTATCTCACGCTGCAGAAACGAGGGAAGGAACAGACTCAAGCAGTGAGTTCTTTTTATTACCTTTTCATTTAATCAAAAGACCTGTGTTCACTTCGAGCATTTAAGAAAGTAAACAAGTAATACTATGAAGAGCACTATCATTATAATATCATTATCATATATAAAAACATTTCCCACATCTGTCCTGATACTGACATCAGTACTTCAATTATCACAGAGACAACTCCCTTAAAAATTTAATCCCCTTTTCAGTTGGTCCAAGTAATTTCTGATGGATGATGCACAGCATCTCTCCTTCACAGAAATACTTAACTTTCAGCTCTCTAATACTCTCACCACTCTCAAAGAATCAGTTTCATTCCCCTTAAGCCTGGGATTGAAGAGGAGGATGTTCCTTCTTGAGGAACTTCAAGCTTCTTCAAAAATCCTGTTTCAGAAATTCAGTGCTTACATCTAACAGAAGTGTATAAACTGCCAATTTAACCAAAATGCCAACTGGTTGATGTCGCATAAAGCCCTAAGTGGACGATCTCACTGCCAGAGCTTTAAACAGACCATGGTAAGGAATGAGAGTAATGACTTGACAATGTATCCCATTTAATGCTTAACAATAAGCTGTAGAAACATCTCTGTTTTAGCCTTAACTGTAAATATTCCAAGAGATTTCTGTCGCATGTGGCACAGAGAAGCAGTCTACACCCAGATATTCTGCTCCTAACATTTCTTCACCTTGAAAATAATCTTCAATGATATACATGAGATTAAAATAAATTCTAAATAAAATACAAAGTAACAGAACATGGAGAACCAACACAAATTCTGTGAGGCGCAAAAGTGTTTGAAATCACAGTACAAACTAGAAGTAAGGATTCTCAGTTAAAACCCACAAACATGCCACAAAGCCCCAGCCAGTACGAGTTCACACAGCAATTAAAAGCATTCCCAATAGTTGACTACAAAAGTCAACATCCCGATATCTTATTATTCAAATAGCAGTTCCTCAAGGGAAAAGAAGGTTTGACTGACTTGAATATACTACATGAATTCTTCAGTGTTTCATATAATTTTGGTAACCTTCAGAATGAACACAGACATACTTGTCTGGAATCTCTATGACCCCATCCTCTGTTTGTTACCACACTCAGCTGACTGATACTAACAAATATTTTGACCATTTCTAGTCTTTTTTTAGGGTAAGCACAGATGGCTCCCTGAATGGTCACTGAGGGTGATGTAAGCTAGAATGGCTGACTTTGACAAGTGTGGGGGACATATTCATACAATCCATTAACGCATCTCAGCTGCTGCAAGCGCAGTTGCAAACAGCCATCAGCAATAACATCCAGATGCTGGCAGCTGCGCTCAATGCAATCACCTCGCTACACCCTTAAGCTACACAAAACCAATTTATTTCTTGTCCACCTAAACCTTATTCCAGAACTACCTTACTAAAAAGATGAAAGGGTTAATAATGTTTCTACCACAACAAGGGCACCCTTTATTTTACCAGATTGCTTAACCATAAATTAACATCCTGGAAAAATTCTGAACAGAGAAACAAAACATTAGGTCAAAGACATTTTCAAATTATACTCAAATATCCCAAAAGTTTAAAATTAGACTGGATCTTGCAGCATCAGTTTTTACACGCTCATACATAATAAAGGAGAATGTCATACAGAACATTACCCTTTTCACCCTCCCAGTTAAAAGAACAAATATTTTCTGCTACTCTGGCAGTCTTAAAAAAAAAAAAAAAAAAAAAAAGAATTTGAAAACTTTTCTTAATTCAATTTTGTAAAAAATCCGGATTTAAAAAAAAAAAAAAAAAAAAAAAGTATCTGTAAACCTTTCTGTACTTCACTTTGCTAACAAATCACATTGAAATTATATCACAGAGGATGCAGTTTGTAGAGTTTTCTAAATTATACAATACCGTATTGAGGAAATTCAAGGACAAAATTATCTTATGGAAGAATCTCCCACGCACAGATAACTATACTTACGCACAGGATAACAACACACAAAACACATCAATTCAAGATACAGGACCTGGACTAATGCCTGTAAACCCTACACTACACTACCAGATTGCTACCACATAGATGATGGAACAATAGTCTTAGAATTAGACTAAGTGTGTGCTGAGATCAGTTTTCTTAACATTCTAATTACTAGCCCTCTTTCTTTTCCATTAAACCCAACATAACTTTTGCACCTGTTGTTTTTCTAGGAAGCTAGCCACAAACTTTGATATGTGGTGTTTCATGCTGGTTCACATACTTTTAGCATAAATATTTTCAACCTTTTCTTGAGCTAAGGCTTTAAAACAAGGATCTGAACATAGCTCAAAATAAATGATACTCACTACTTTCTTCGGAGGTTCATCTTCAGGATCTAAATTCTTCCTTTTTTCTCTGCTGTCCTGCTTAACACTATCAACTTCTTTTTCATTTTCAGTGGGGTGCGCTGTACCTGAAGTTGAACTATCGCCTTCCCAACCAATACCTGAATCTGCCTCTAAGGTACAAGGTGTTTTCTCCACTTCTTCATCCAAACTCTTCTCTACTTCCTGTTCTTCTGTCTTGGTTATATCAGCCATTTCTGACAGGTTAGTCCCCTTGTCCATTGATCAGAATGGAAATCTATAGTGGGGAAAAAAAAAAGAAAACCCACCAGCTCTTTTCGGTGTTGAATTTCACTTACTCGTGGTTACAGTCATGACTTTCAATCATAATATTGACATAAGAAAACAACATGCCTTTGCCCTAGACAACATATAGACTTCGAATTTGACTGGCTATTTAATAAAGATAGCACAATAAAATATGTGGAATTTCAAAGTACTCACTTTACAATAAGATCAAACTAAGATAAATCTTTACTCTTCATGTTTGAGTCTCTTAGCTATCTTTATTGATTCAACTGCAAAGCTCTATTGAGCCTGTAATCTTCCTTTTCCCCTACCCATACAAAGTAACCTGCAAATCACTTTACATTTAGAAACACAAGCTGTCAGAGTCCCTCAAATTAGTAAATTTGTTATTTAATCTGATATGCTTTCAAATAGATGCCCTCAAACAAAAAATCAAGGTGTCTTTAAAGAGCAAATTGCACATAGCACTTGTGGATTTAAGTTTGCCAAGAATATCCACTATGCCTCAAGCTTCACTAACACTAGGCTTCTTCAGCTGTAACTGCATTTCCGTATCTCCACTTCACAAACACCTATGCAGCTGCAAATCACTGCCACAAAGCTCATTTCGTCTCCAGCACATCCCAGCCTTCTTTACACCACCATCAGGAAGCAGGGGACCTACTTTTTAATAAAGCATAGGAGAGGATACCTGGGCAACTCCTTTTCTAAAACAATGGCCTACTTCAGTCTGTAACAAAAAACATGCACACTCCACTGTATCCAGGCTTAAGCCTCCTAATGAGGGCCAAAACACATTCATTAAGTGGGCCACTACAGAGGCCCCCGAGCGGCTTTCCTCAAAACAGATGGCCTCAAAGTATGACTTATGGAAATAACTTTTCCACTACGGTACAGCATCTGACTCGTGCTTCCGAAGCAGCATACCCTTTCTTATCGTCGCTCGGCTGCTCCAAGCAGCTGACCGGGTGCTTTCAAGGCCTCAATTCAGAAGCGATCGGAATTTCAGAACCAGCGATGGCAACCAAGCGCCCGGGGGGCAGCTCCTTCGGAAGGACCGCCGGAGAGCTCGAAGCGCCAGGGGAAGGGGGGACGGGGCGGGGCGGGGCGGCGCTC